GGAGAGGGACTGGGTGTGTGAAGCCAGAAGGCTGAGTCCTCCCCAGCTGGGAGCGGCGGAGGAAGCGGCACGCGGGCTGAGGAACCACAGAGCTGAGACTGTTAGCGAGGCTGCGAGACAGGGGCAGCACCGGCCAAGCACGAAATAACACACCAGGAGCCAGGCTCAAACAGGGAAGGATTAACTCAGGCCGCTGCAGAGCTGCTGGACAGACCTCAAGGTACACAAGGTCTCAGACATTTGGAAGCGCAGTAATTCAGGAGGCGGCAGGGAGGACTGGGGAACACGGACACTACAAAGAGAAACATCCATCCAGGCCCGCTGCAGAGAGACACGGAAAATCTCCAAATGAGGGTGTTGGGGCACCGCACTGGCTGCGGGAGAGAAGCCGAAGGCATTCCAGCACTTGGTCCTCTGTGCAAGAGAACAGAGGACGCTAACGAAGCCGGCAGATGAGAGCCGAGGCACAGCCTGCACAAGCAGGATCGGCGTACCCCAGCGCAGCCTCGTCCTCCAGCCCACCCAGCAGCTCTGTCAGGCACTGGGAAGGCCTTGGTGGGGGTTACAGGTCACCAGAATTGGATATGCCGCACGCCCGGGTACCCCACACCAGCCCTGATGAGATCCCTGCCAGCCCTGGGCTCTCCAAGACAGAGCTTAAAAGAAAATACGTTTGCTGAGCCACGTTCTGCCACTGTTTGATTCCGTCCTCACCCCCACCACACCCCTTTGGGCTGAGAAAGTGGAAATGCTGACTGGAAACGCGCGTCCAGCCAGCGTGCTGCCTCTGAAGAGGCACAACCCACCGCCTTCCGCCAAGGGCTGCAACCCGCGGCCGCCCCAGGGAACACTCCCGTTTACCCAGAAGACGTCGTAGATGAAGAGGCCCCCAAGCAAGATGCAGCCAGTGCTGACGTTGTTCAAGTGCAGGAGCTCCACCCCGTTGAGGGAGAAGGCCAGCCCAAAGAGGTTGTTGGCAATCCAGTGCTGAGAACGACAGGAAAAGGAGATCTGGGTCCCACCGCACGTGCCGAGCCACGGCCTCAGCCTGCCGGTGCCTTGCGTGGAAAGGGGCCCGGGTCTGATCCAGCCCGGTCCCCGGCCTCCCCACAGCAGGGCTGTGGCTCGCTTACCTTCCTCAGCAGGTACCAGACCCCCACAACACTGCTCAGGGCCAGGCATACGAGGTCCTTGGTGTCAAATTCATAGTTGACTATTTCTGCAACAAAACAGAGAAGTCAGGCTTCGGGCAGCTCCCCTTCCTGCGCAGGGCAGAGGCGAGCGACTCCGCAGCTGGGGAGCAGCGCAGAGCGCAGCGCTCGGGGCCCAGGCGAGGGGCCAGCAGCCGGCCCCGGCACGTCCGGACCTTCCCCTTCAGGCAGACCCCGCCACACGGACAGCTTCTGCCATCCTTCTGTCCATATGGAAATCGGATTCAGGCACTGCCTAAGGCAGGGGGAGGCAAATCTTCTCCCTCTTCCTGCACCAGTTAACTCCTGGTGGTATCACTAGAAGAAGTGTTCCCTTACCAGTAAAGCTGCTGGGCAGGGTACTTATCAAGGCAGCTTCTACCAGTGCAAAGAACTGAATCAGATCAGTTAAGGCAGCGCAAACACGTCAGTACTACGCTGCCCAAGGAACCCGAAGGCAGGGCGCTGAACGGCAGCCACAGCTCCATTCCTACAGCCCTCTGGGATCCGTTTCTGGGGTGTCGCCGCCAGCCCGAGGCAGCTCGGGGGGAGCGCACCAGCCAACGCGCGACGC